TTTGCCCACCGCCCCCCCCCCCCCCCCAAGCTCGCCCCCTCTCAACTACCTCCTCCCCTCTCACCTTACCCCCCCGTTTCAATCCACGCTCCACCTCCCTTCCACGCAGTGCGACCAAGGAGCGATGCCACCGACATCTCTCCCTCCCCTCCCTCCCCGCTGAATCCTCACCCGCCCATCCACCCCGCCGCACCAACCATGGACGACCTGCAGATGGAGCACGGCTTCCTCAAGGCCCCCTGGGAGGTCCTCGTCCGCAACTTCCGCGCGGGCCACAAGCCGCTCGCAAAGGAAATGGAGCTCTTCTCCTCCTCCATCGCCCATCTCGTGCACCAAGTCTCCGCCGCCCCCTCGCCCGCCGCCGTGCCGCCCCTCTCCGTCGCCCACCTGGAGACCAAGCTCACGGGGCTCAAGCGCAAGCTCGAGGCCGTCCGCGCCGCGGACGAGGACGCCATGAACCGCTGCCACGCTCGCATCCACCACCTCTGCACGCGCGCAGCCCCGCAAGTCGCCCCGGACGACCACCTGGACGAAGAGCACATGGACGTCGATGCAGAGGAAACCGCGGCCGACCTTGGTACTAGCATAGCCGAGAGGCAGAGGGAGACCGCCGCGAGGTGGGAGAAGGTCAAACTCGACCGCGCCTTGGTCGATTATATGCTCAGAGAGGGTATGTATGATACAGCAGAGAGGCTCGCAAAGGCCCAGCGCTTGGAACTTGTCGTTGATACCAAAATTTTTAGGGAGAGTCGAGTTGTCATTGAGGCGTTGAGAAAACGCGATTGTAGCGAAGGCCTGAGATGGTGTGCGGAGAACAAGAGACGCTTGCAAAAGGTTCAGAGCAAGCTCGAGTTTCGCCTCAGGTTGCAGGAGTTTGTGGAGCACGCTCGTGCGGGGAGAAAGCATGATGCCATTGCCTATATGCAAAAGTATTTGTCGGTTGGCAACTGCGATCCGGAGCGCATGTGCGACATTCAGAGGTTCATGGCTCTGCTGGTGTATGATCCCACCACGGCTTGTCAGCCGTACAAGGACCTGTACTCGGAAAGGAAGTGGACTGAGCTGGAGCTGGCGTTCAAGCGAGATAACTATCGCTTGCATGGGCTCACAAGGGAGAGCACCGTAGAGATTATGATCAAAGCGGGGCTGGCCAGCTTGAAAACACGAAAGTGCGGCACAGAGGCTGATAGAAAGCCGAATTGTCCGACATGTGTCGAACCATACCTCAGCTTAGCGCAAGCTTTGCCACGTGCCCGACATGAGCATTCCATCCTTGTTTGCTCGATATCAGGAGATATTATGGATGAGAACAATCCCCCGCTAGCGTTTCCCAATGGAAACGTATACAGCACCAAGGCCCTCAACAAGATATCGGAAGAGAATGATGGCGTGTTTATCGATCCTAGAACGAAGGATAGGGCATCGCCTGGCGAAATGCGCAAATGTTTTATTATGTAAAAGAATGGCGCTGCTATTGTAAAGAGTGATTAACTTGTAGAATGGTACCGATGGGAGATGATAGTTTTCTTTCCCTGCCTACCTACCGTCAACTCGCTGCAACTCCGAACCTGACGCTCTGTAGTGCATCCTTCATAGGCCGTCGCTCACCTTTCTCGCCACGACACGTCTCTTTCTCGAGTCAAAGATATTCTACAACTTATCTATCAGTCATTGCAATGTCAGATTCAGCCGACACTCCACGCTGCGCCCCGGACATGTTCCCGAATGTCATCTGTTCAACGTCACTACGCCCTATGGCTTCGTACTTTTCTAGAAAACGACTAGTTCGCACCACATTTGTCATGAAGGCCTGGAAGCGACGATTCATCGCAATTTCCGGTACCGTTTCTAACATTCTTATCGCCCGCAGAGCTCCTCTGATGGAGTCGTCATGCCTCTCCGTTTCTTGGCGAACAGCATTCTGTTTCACCTTTTCATTAAAAGTTGCTTGTAATGCTGCAACTATGTTGTCCATAATATCATTCAGCTGGGGCGCATCTGGCGTGGCAGCGGCAGTCGCTAGAATAAGTTGCGCTATTGACCGTACATCTGCGTGGTCTCCTAGACCAACCAGAATGTTTTGAACAAGAGTGTTAAGCGACAGAGATGCACAGAGCGGTCCGCTGACAAACGTTCTCATGCAGTCGAAAGCTGATTTGCGCATGTCCAAGCCAAAATCTTCTTCGTGTTTGAAGGGACCAAGATCCACAACACGCACAAGACTTTTGTTTTTCACTAGCCTAGCAAATATGAATTGCTGCGTAGCACTGAGATGCGGGATCAATACCGAAGGTTGTGACTTTGCTATGGCATTTACAGCCTGCAAGGCACTCTTTGCCACTTGAACGTCAGGGTCGCCAATGAGTTGAATAAAAGCGGAAACTGATGACCGGAGCGCAGAAAGCAACGGCTGTCGGTGAGATGGGCTTGAGCTCACGGCAAATTTAACCGCAGAAGCAACAGACGCACGAATATCTGCTCGTTCTGATGACGTTCCGTCAACTAGAGCTTTCATAACTTCTTCGGGTGAAGCACGACTCAGTAACCCAAGGCATTCTGCCGTTGCAGTTCGGACGCTCTCCTCGGATACACGCACCCCCTGGCTGCCCTCTGAGTTAACGGCTGCAGTGCTCGCATTCGTTGATGCAACCTGCTCTTCAAACAACAATGGAATCAAAATCGAGACAACAGGGGCCAGGTCCACACTGTTCGAATATGAAATCGCTTCTTTCAACGACAGGAGAAGCAAATATCGTTGATCCGGACGAAGCCTGATGAGGTTCAGGAGGGAGGGTATCCCACTAGCACCACCAGCGGCAGTCATTCCACCAAGAGCAATAGCTGCAGCAGTCCGCATCTCAGCTTCAGGGGCATCCAACGCTGCCATGATAGCAGTTTGTAGATTTGTCCTTTCTACTTCGCTCTTGGCTGTAACGGAGCTTCGACCGAACTCGCCAAGGCATATGACTGAAAAGATACGAATGTTCAGATCCTGGACTTCTAGGTTCGCAACAATCTTCTCCGCAGTTTTCGCCCTCGAGCTGGGGTCTGCAGAGTCACAAACTGCGACAAGACATTTTGCTACACAGTACAGAGCAGACGCACGGCCTGTCACCGTCACTGCACTTGTCCCCAGTGAACTCGACAGAGACATCAGATCTGTCAGCATGGATTCCGTAGTCAAAGGCTCTTGATTAATTTCTGCCAGTGTGCGGAACAATAATATCAGGGCATCTACGGACTTCCCCTGGAGTAAAGGTGAAGCAACCAACCCAAGACCTCGGGAGTAAATAGAATTCTGCTTGGCCATCTCTCCAGCTACTTCCGCACCCCGCGCCCTCAGAAGCCGAATAGCAAGCTGCAATGCCATGCATGTCAGGCGCAAGTCTGAGTCCGTCACTAGTTGGCTGATGTTTGCGATCAAGGCTGAATCACCTTCTGGTGGAAGCGAGGGCGCAGTGGCCAATAAATCCAAAGATGCTGCTCGAAGCGATGGATTGTTTTTCCGTAGAAAGCCTCCCACAGTCATTGTTACATCACTCATGACGGGCAGGAGTACTTTCGCAGACTCGGACGTCGCGATCGCGTACAAAGCACGCACTGTGGGCAGCCTGGTCACTTCACTCGCAAGCCGATCGCACAGTACATTCGCAATGCTTGTAACGCGTTGCGGCCCCAACTCAGAACCGAAAAAGGACACTGAGGCACCAAGACACCGTAGAGCAGCTTCCTTAACTTCTGAATCTTGATCTTGTGCAGTGACCCTTCCAAGGGCAGCGTCATGCATTCTCGAAGCGAAAGGTGCAAGCAGAGACCTAAACTCAGAAGAGGCCCTTCCAAAAGATATCAGCAAATCCCCGCAGAGACGCAAGCACTCGGCAGTAACCTTATAGTACCGGTCATCAGTTGCTGCAAGGATTCGCGGAATCAATGTTTGAAGGTGACCACTGATACCATTTGCACCGCCGCTATGGACCATTCCGCGAAGGAGAAGCAGCGACTCCGTCTTCATTGCCGTAGCTGAATCTGACATACCCTGTTCTATCTCGGAAATTATCTTACCGATCAGTGGTGTCATGACAGACGGCATTGTGCTAACACAGTCACGCAGTAGTGCCATAGTTTTGATACGGGTCTTCAAAGAGCGAGAGCTAAGCTCCTTTTTCAGGGTCCGCATGATTTGAGGTCCGCGGCTTACAATAGGACGCATCTCATCACTAACTCCCTCATCGGCGTCAACGGCCATGGCGTCGCCGATGTCAATCTCCAAATGCATAGCACCTGAATGGAAGAGGTGCTGGTGGGATTGGCTCCCGCTCAGCCGCAACAATTCTGAAAACGCCGCAAAGACATCTAGCTTCACCGGCTCCTCTCGTTCTTTGAAACGGGTGATTAGGAAGGGACCAAAGTCCCGGAATAGGTATTCACGCGGCATCAACTCCACGCTTAAGGCTGCGTGTAAGCATCGAATCGCTGCTCGTCGCACTTTCCAGCTGTTGTCGTCATCATCAGAGTAGTCTTCCTCGTCATCGTACTCGTTGTCCATGTCGTCGTCATCTCCCATCCCCGTCTCGTCATCCTCTTCTTGCTCCTCCTCCTCCTCACCTCCGGCATAGTTGGGGTCGTACCTTGCGGAATTTATTACACACTCAGCCAATGTCTTTCCGAATCCCATCATCTCACGCTTGCAACGCAAGCAGAATGAAGCTAGGGCCTGAAGGCAATGTTCTCGTAGTTCCTCATCATCGGCATAGTTCTCCGATGTACAGTATTCAAACAGAATTGGAGCAAGGGCTTCGACGTGGACTGCAAGTCTATGTCCAGACGTCTTCGAGAGTGCCCAGATGATTTGCACGCCCGTCTTGATAGTATCGGTACGCGAATCGTTGGAGCGCAAATCTGCAAGCGCTCGCTCGACCATGGCAATAAAGAGCGAGTTCTCACACGAAGAACCTAATGCCCCAATACACAGCACAGCCCTCTTCGTAATGAGGGCACTGGAAGAAGGAAGCTGTCTAAAAATGGCGTCGCTAATCTCTGGGTATAGATCTGTCATATGGCTTCCCACACGGTTGAGCATATCATTCATGAGTTCAAAGGTCTCAATGAGTAGATCAACAGCATCGCCCACTGCCTTTGTGACGCGAATAGTGCGGATGAGCTTCGGGGCCATACACTTCGTTACGGCGGCGGCCTTTACCGAATCCGGTGGGAGCTCTGCTAGGATAGCCTTGAGCCCGAGCGAGGACACATCGCGCATCGCTTTGACGCTGAGGTTTTCCGGAGAGCCGGCCTTGGCTTTCGAAGCAGAACTGTCGACGATGTATTCCAAAAGCTTATCGACTAGGTAGGTGGCGTACACTACTTCGACAAAACGGGCGAGCGGGCCAAGGCACTTCATAGCCATGCCTTGGACCTCGCTGTTAGTATCGTGCAGCAGCTTCATAACGGATTTGCAATACTGGCGGTGGGATGGGGGAGGGATAGCACATATGTGAACACAAACAAACGCGATGTTAGACGTTGGGGAAACGAAGATAACAGACGCTGACGAACATATCATGAGGATGCATGAGAAGTTACCTTCTTCTGTGTCTCTCCATCGGTGCGCATGGAGCCGCTTTGCAACTGCTGGAGCAGGTCGGAGGTGGCCATGAAACGCAAGTCGGAATCAGAGTCCTCCATCTTATGGAAGGCGCTTCTCGACGACTGGGCCGACATGGTGGGTTAGCAAGAAACGTTAGCGCAAGTTTAGGAGATGTGGGAAGGGAGTGGATGTGAATTTGTTGCGAAAACACTGACGCTGAAGAAGCGTGGCGTGTGTAGAGACAGGGAAGCGCATGGGTCGAAAGGATGGCCGTGGAACGTTGGGATCAAAGAAGTCGCAATAAGATACTGTAGAGCCGAAATGCAGACGATGATTCACGCCAAACAAAAATAAAAGTTTAAAAATGACATTCCATAGACCGATCACCTTCTTCTTTCTCCTCCACGACATTGCCCCGCTCTTCGACCTCCGTCGTCCCGAAATCAACAACTCCTTGCCGCCTTCCAAAATGTCCTCCCGATGGGACGTGGAGCCACCCTCCGCCACCGACTCCCCTCGGCAGCTCCCCTCCCAATCTCAACCCAACCCGACCGCATCCGAAAAGCCATCGACACTGTTCCGCTCGCGCAGAAGGCCCACCAAGAAGCGGCGGCGCGCGCTTTCCGACGTTCTGGAACAACCTACCTCCGCACCCAAATTTACCCCAGCATCTCTCCCACACCCCCCGAAAACCCCCCAAGCACTAGCAAAACCGCCTCCCCGCGTCCCCGCCAGGCCCGAGAAGCAAATCTCGGCCTCAACGCCTCCTACCCGCCGCTCTAGATGGGACGCAATCGACGAACGCTACCACAAAGCTGCTGCCCTCCCCTCCACGAGTTTCACCCCTTCCTCCTACGGCAGAGCCAGCACTCCGTTCTCCTCAACCACCCCCACCGATGCCGCACAATCTTCTGCTCCCGACGACGCAGGTTACAAAGCATATGAGCAGGAGCAGGACCGCGCCGAACGCGAGTGGTATTTAGGCGAGTACTCTGACCGTACGCTGCCCGTCGCTGACGAAGCAGCCGTCGCAGAGCGTCAGTCGCGACGGCTTACGGCCAAAGCAGCCGCGAGAAACGCTGATGCCGTACGGTGGGAAGAGCGCCAGATGGGTTTCGCCCTTTACGCAAACGTGAAACGCTCTGCTATGAGTGCAGATATTTCGGATGATGCGGCGCCCAGAGTGGCGTTACTAGTGAAGGAGCTTGTGCCCAATTTTTTGAGGAGGGAAACAATAGTCAATGAGAAAGCGGTCCTCGCGATGGGAGGGAAGGGGAACGCGGTTATTGGGCAGGATGTTGTATTGCCAGTGAAAGACCCCACGAGTAATATGGCGATTATTGCCCGGAAGGGGTCGCAGACAGTGGAGCATTATCGGGAAACGAGAGAGCGGGGCAAGGCGCGTACGAAATATTGGGAGCTTGAAGGTGCGACTGGGGCCAAGGATAAGGAGCATGCAGAGATGGATGCGGAGAAAGACGCGAGGATAGCTGCTGCCATTGCGGCGCCAGAGGACTGGAAGAAGGATATGAAGTTTTCGACGGCGTTGAAGCGGCAGAAGAACCCATCGAGTAATGACGGTGCTGATGCGACCTTGAATACTGCAGAGTCTGTTGCGATCACTAGAAGATCTTTGCCCGTTTATTCTGTAAAGAATCAGCTGATGAACATCATCCGTGAGCATCAGATTTGTGTTATCGTGGGGGAGACAGGGTCTGGAAAGACTACACAGCTGACCCAGTATCTTGAAGAGGAAGGATACGCTCGTTTCGGCATTATCGGTTGTACGCAACCGAGGAGAGTTGCCGCCGTATCTGTTGCGCAGCGGGTCTCAGAGGAATTTCATGGCGGGTCGGAACTGGGGCAACAAGTTGGATATACCATTCGCTTCGAGGATTCGACGAGCGAAAAGACGGTTATCAAATACATGACAGATGGCATATTGCTACGGGAGAGCCTAGGCGACCCAGAGCTAGAGCGATATTCGGTCATCATTATGGATGAAGCTCATGAGCGAAGTCTCAATACTGACGTTCTCTTCGGTGTGCTGAGAGGTGTTGTGACCAGGCGTCAAGATCTCAAGGTCATCATTACAAGCGCAACCCTGAATGCGGAAAAGTTCGCTAACTTCTTCGGTGCCGCCCCAATCTTCAAAATACCTGGGCGAACATTTCCAGTAGATACCTTCTTTTCTAAGACCCCGATCGAAGACTATGTGGATGGCGCCGTCTGGCAGGCAATTCAGATACACATTCAAGCCCCACTCCCAGGTGACATTCTCATTTTCATGACGGGGCAAGAAGACATCGAAACGACATGTGAGGCATTAGCTGAGAAGATTGGGAGGCTTGAGAAGCCGAGGCCGTTGTTGATTTTGCCGATTTACTCGCAGTTGGCAGCTGATCTCCAAGCCAAGATATTCGAGCCTGCGCCGGAGGGATACAGGAAAGTTGTTGTTGCTACGAATATCGCCGAAACCAGTTTAACTATTAATGGTATTCACTACGTTATAGATTCTGGATACTGCAAATTGAAGACATACAATCCCAGACTCGGTATGGATGCATTGCTACTCTGTCCAGCATCACAATCATCGGCAAACCAACGTTCAGGGAGGGCCGGTCGAACGGGACCTGGTAAATGTTATCGATTGTTCACCAGCTCGGCATACGTGACCGAAATGCTGGACACAAATGTACCAGAGATTCAACGCACAAATTTGAGTCACGTGGTATTGCTTTTAAAAACTCTTGGAGTGAAAGACCTTCTCGACTTTCCTTTTTTGGATCCTCCCCCCGCGGAGAACATTTTAAAATCCATGCTCGGGTTATGGCTCCTCGGAGCATTTGACCTGGATGGGAATCTGACGAAGTTAGGTAGAAGAATGGCTATTTTCCCATTGGACCCAGCACTATCGAATCTACTGTTTCGAGGAGAGGAGTTTGGGTGCCTTCTGGAGGCTGTCACAATCGTTGCAATGCTATCAGTCCCGAACGTGTTCATGCGGCCACATGGGAGAGAAGATGAGAGTGATAGCGCTCGGGAAAAATTCTTCGTGCCCGAAAGCGACCACCTAACACTGCTTCATGTGTACCAACGCTGGCGAGCAGCCGGGTGCAGGACAGATTGGTGCGCAAAGCACTACATCAGCGGCAAGAGCATGAGAAAAGCACGAGAGGTGCGAGAGCAGCTTTTGGAAATCGTGCGATCTGAAGGCATGGCAGAAACCTCTACTGACGAATGGGACTCGATCCGCAGGGCTATCGCGTCTGCCTTCTTCTATCAAGCAGCTCGCAGAAAAGGTATCGGTGAATACATCAATATTCGATCTGGTGTGGTATGCGGGTTGCATCCCACATCTGCATTGTACGGCACAGGTCTGAGCCCGGATTATGTGGTTTACCACGAATTAATAATGACAAGAAAGGAGTACATGAGTTGCGTGACAGCTGTTGATCCACATTGGCTTGCCGAGGCAGGTCCCGCTCTATACATACTCAAACAGGCTGGTGAGGAAGGAGTTCAAGCTGCAAAACGCTTGCGCGAGCGACGCGCAAAAATTGAAGATCAAATGCGTTTGTCAAGCCAAGAAACACTTGAGTCCAAGGTTCCCAGCGAATCAGGAAAGTAGGACGCTGACTGCTGGACACCCCCAGGTAGTAATCTATCGTCCACCGCATGAGAAGAGACGCTCATTTGCGACTTAATGGCATGTTTCGTGATGGATCCTCACCGGTTATCCAAATGCTGACTCCTTACCTGTGTTGTAGTCTTTGCTGAGGTCAATTCCAGAGTTTTCCATGTGGGTGTTAGTGAGCTTAATTCTCTTATTTCGTCGCCGCTTCGTGTCCTTTCGACTGCTGGGTCGTTTTCTTGACACAGGGGCATCAATCTTTATGCCGGCGGAATCATCGGTTTCTTTGAGGCCTCGTTGCACAAGATACCGATGAACTTCGATGGCGTCCGGAACAGTAACGCGCTTGTATTTCTCCTTGACCTCATCGCTGATAGTCAGTTGATAGCGATCATCCCGAGGAAACAAAAGCGTCTTAGACCCGCTCTTAATCTCATACATAGCCCCCTTTTTCTTGAGCTTCTTAAGGTCATCCTTGACACCTTTGTAGGAATCATACAAATCTCTCTCATTTACCCCATCCGTGCTACGACACATGAGGGTAAGGAGCTGGTTGAAGTTTCGCACAGGATACTTGGATGCCCATCTCCACTTTCCATCTTTTTCCCTTATAATCTTACTTGCATCTCCAGTGAGTGAAAGAAATATACTGTGGGAGTTTTCAACATCCACCCCAGTTCTTTCTAAAAGCTCTGCAGATGAGAAGGATTGCAGCTCCGCCTTCAGGAAGTCATGTATCTCGACCAGTTGCATCCCGACCATGGTATCGTCCGGCATTTTGATTTTTAGCACGGTAGGCGCAAGGGACAGACCCTTCCCTATGTAAGTTCGTAATTGTTAGACGAGAACAGCCGGAAAACGTCGAAGAGAAAGCTCCAGGAGTGGCAATAGCGAGAAGGCGAAACAGAGCAACAATTTGACCCTTGTGTTGGGACAACAGCTGACATATCGTACGTCGCGCGGACAGCAGAGCTACATGTACAGTACCGTTAGGGTACAGCACAGCAGGACGAGCCGAAGATTTCCGTCAAAGAGTGTTGTCCGAGTTTTAATTCTGTACTTCCTTTTTTCACTTTCATGTTATTGTTTTGGGAGATTTTGTGACCACCGTCACCCCTTGTTCGCTACAGTACAACTTTTCCGATTTCACCCGCCTGTTGCCACCAAAATGCACCTGATCGCCCCCAAATGCAACATTATCTCTATTGTTTTTTGGTTTTCACTCTTGATTTTCAAGATTCGCCTATCTACGAATTGAGAAAATATAACGGCATTCTGTGGCGATCGCAGTATCATCTGCATCATCCGATCAGCGATGCCTTCATGCCGAAGAGGCAACTCCCCTCTCCTACCATTCTAGCTAGTCTGGAAACGTGTGTTGCCCCTTCAGAAATCGAAATAACTAAGACGAATAGTGGGTGTCCCAGTACGTGCGCCTGAGACACTTCACTGCACTCTCTAAAAAGGACTCACGCCTCACCAACTTCTTTGTATCAAAAGGCATAGAGGACACACTCTGCGTACGCTATCGAATCGGTAATGGTACCTTGTGTGGAACACTTCCACTGATGAAGAAAAGGTGTAACTCAGCTTTTTTTTTTTTTCTTGCACCGGTAACTGTGAGCAGGTGACAGGCAGGACGACGTTGCAGACCCCTTTCTACACTTCAGCATTCTATCTCTTTCTCCTTCCGAATTGCTTAACCATCTTTTTCAAATCGGATGGGCTGAGATTGACAAGGAAGAGAACCCCCTGCGACCTGTCTTTACGCAAGATTGGATTCCTACTCATCAATATCTTCTTGGCTCATTCGAACCTTGCACGGTATGTTCCTCAATAATTTTCTTCCCGTAGTTGAGGTGAGGGATACTCGTAGCTTTTCGCGTTCAACATAAAGGTTGTAGATGAGACACAGATCTGGGGACACGTTGACATTTAACGCATCACAACTATCCCGTCAACAAATAAACACTTCAGGCGTCCCTCGGCATACTTTAATAGAAAACGATCACATGAGAGAACCTTGCGAGCTCTTGCGAGAAGGGAAGAATTTAGTATATTGAATGTGCGGATTCTGTCGAATCAATACTATGTGCGCTGGCATCAGCATGCATCGCTCGTCACATACAGGTCATGTATGCAACACTACAAAAAAGTCGAAAAGGAGACGTTTTGACACAAGAATTCTAGTCGAAGCCGTTGGTTGTCGGAAAGGTGTGCATTGTATTGCTTGTATGAAGTCGCAGGAGCCTGCACCACCAACTGCAGGAAGAAGGAAGAAGTGTGCATAAATGAGGTACAACAAAGACTGGAACGTGCTTTGTTATGCGCTGGCCGGTAGAGCGCGGAGTGCTTGTCTCTTTGCAATACATGCGTTGTATCAGACTGGCTGTCTCCTGTGTTCCGCTTTCTCAACGACCAACAATTCGTCATCTTGCGGCCGTTGAGCCCTGGGTACTGGAAGGGGGGGGGAGGGAGGGGCCACTCCCTGATTGAATATGAGCCAAGGGGTAGCTACCCCGTGGCTTATATTCAATCAGGGAGTGAAGGCGGCACCAAAATATTTGTGCCGTGGAATGTTGTTACACTTTGATTTGCCAGCTCCTCGTGAGATTATGTCTTTCTCAACTACAAGTGGTACGGCGAAACATATCGACATAGGCTTCGGCCCGAAGCGCAACGAACCTCTCTGTGAAAGACATTCTTTAGACAAGCGAAGGGCAGAGGGACGGGCTGGCGAAGTCAGTTTGCTCTGATTGCTCGAGTCGTGACGCGTGGCGGGAGAGTGGCGGAGATTTTGCATGCGGAACGCAGAGGTATGTTCCTTGTCCGTCCGACAACATAAACGGGGCGTAACGCGCAACGGACGTGGTGTCCCGCGGCGCGCAGAGATGTGGGATCTGGTTGCGCAAGAGTGCTGCGCACGCGGACGTATGGGCGGTGCTTGCGGTTTGGAGACGGGCGCGGCGGTGTATTCAGCGTGACTGAGGCATCCCGGACAGACTGTTGTCGCGGAAAAGAGATGCGGGAGACTGCGGGAGACTGCGGGAGACTGCGGGAGACTGCGGGAGACTGCGGGAGACTCTGCAATGTGTCATGTCCGGCGTCTGGCGCGCCCGTAGGCGCTTGCATTATTGCGTCGGGGCGTGGTTTAGAAGTGGTGAGCCAGAGACGGTCGACGGGATACATTGAGTGCTCCTAATGATGCAAGCAAGCTCAAGGTGGACAATAGTGTATGGATTATGATAAGGTGGGGTATGTATGATGATAAGGAGAGAATTTGGAAAAAAATCCTTGTCTATCTCCTGGTGTTTTGTATGTTGAAAAAGTTTTGGTGGGAAAAGTAAATTTTTTTGGCAGTGTGGAAGGCAGGTAGACAAGCGCGGTACAGTCGGTTTTACCCTTCGAGGGTAGGCAGACGGTGGAAGGCAACCACTGCTGGACGGCTGCCAATGATGATGATAAGGTCCAATTCAATATTTGGACAAAATTTTGAGAGTGATGGCACCACACCGGCATACCCAAGGGTAGAAGTTCCGATCCATTTTTTGGACTTGGATTGGACCCCGAGAATTTGGAGCACAGGATTTTGGTCCTGTAACGGGTTATTTGGATCCATATCAATATGAACCGCTCCAACTGGCATGTCCAATCCAAAGCAATAATCTGAGTCGCGATTCTCCTCACATGATCTGGATCTGGCTCGTCATTTCCCACAAACAATGGCTTGCCGCCAACATGATGCGAAACTGTAGTACGAAGGGTAGTGACATTTTTTCCGGAATGGGAGGGAGGCAGGCAAAAATTAGAGTGCACCAGTGGGGAAAGGTGCCGCCGGAGCGAAGTTCCATTCCAAAATAATATGGACCATCTCTTGGAGAGGTTCAAAAGATTGAGTATGGTCGACCAGCAATAGCCAATCGCAGGCAGCAGTAGAAAATTTGGACCCTATCTGATTTGGACGACACCGGTGCGGAGGGACGCTCTAAGATTTGCTCAAAAGGGGTATGATATCTGCGAGTTGGAGGGAGGTATTGAGGCGAAAGTGATGGAAAGGTGCGTAAAAAAGGGCTCGACAAGGGGGGTGCCCCTGAAGGTTGCTCCCTTCAGTCAGTAAGGCGTGGGCGCAAAGTGCCAGAATGCAGGCATGTGCGTTTCGCATTTCATTCGTAAGGAAAAAGGGGACAAGAGTGAACACCCCAGTGAGCACAGGATGTTTATCACGCACGCTGCCACGTGCCCACGTCGCCACGTGGACATGGTGGAAGAGCGTCGATGCCCCTCGCATCGACCCCCTCACTCAGACTCATCTGGGGCACTAATCTCTCGCAATACACACCGCGAAGGTCATGTGATTTGCCCTCTGTTGCATCCGACCACTCGGAATTAAAGGCGCTTGTGTCCTCGCACCATCTCCCCCGTCACGAACTACAAGTACAGGACTGCGAACGCTGGCTGTACATTGTCTCCCTCCTCCTCCCACTTCTCCCAGTGCGTCTGGTTTTTTTTATTTTTTATTTGTGTTGTGTTGGCGACCTTGTCGTAGGTTTCCGTATTTACACGAGGTAGGTAGTTATTATACTGTATCGCAGTGTACCCTGTACCGTGCTCTTGTGTGGGCTCCGAATGTCGGTTTTTCGTAGACGGTTTTCTCTATTTGGCATATCAGAAAAGAATTGCTGATGATGATAAGGTAAGTTACCCTTCGAAGGATAGAGATAGAATTGCGAGCGAATTGTGCGTAGGAGTATGCGTGATGTGGCCCCCTAACGGAAGGGAGAATGCGGGAGTAAAGTTTAGATGTGGAGGAGATTTGAAACATGCGTCACTTGAGACACGAAATGTACCCTTGGTACTCTCCCACACAAGATAATATCTAGTGTGGGAGAGTGCATCTACTAGATACGGGGTGTGAGGTATGAGCAGCTGGGTATGAGAGATATAGTTTAGCACTGGAAAGTGGCATGCACGTACACTAGTCTTTTCCTATCATTTCTTTAATCTGGTGATTGTAAAACGCGAATAGAATCTGCCTCACATCCTCCTACTGATTGTACTCGGCGGTTGACTAGGCGGTATACACCCTTGAAGGGTACTGTACCTGAATAGTATTCAGGTACCTGTATTCACGTGAATACAGGTCCCACATTCCAGCCCAACTTGCCCTCCAACTTGCCCTCCAACTTGCCCTCCATTTCATTTAATTACTGTGGCCACGACTGCACATGACACGCCAGCGTTTTAATCCGAAACCCGTCTCGCTTGCTCCCCAGCATTCACACAGGGCGTTGCAATACTCACCGACGAGAAAAAAGAACAGAAAAAGCAGCCCAAGAGTGCTCTATACACTCTAAAATAGAGTGTCAAGAGTGCTCTATACACTCTATTAGAGTGTACAGAGCACTCTTGGGCTGCTTTGGGTAGTTGACTATAGTACAGATTGGCATATTGTTCGCATCTCCAATGTCTTGGGTCGGTCCGTAAGACACTAGAGATTCCAATCC